GCCAATAGGTTCATAGTGCTGAGACTTAACATCCTACTCCACCAGGAAGGCCAAGTAGATTCCTTCTTTGTGTCTGAGGCACCCATTCTCTGCAGTCAGGAGTTCGATTGCTGAGAGAGTCAGGAGTTGCGATTGCCTAAGTGAAAAAGAAATTGCCTCATCCAAGGTTACACTCTTCTAAAGGGTCAGCCTACATGAGGAAACAAACCTTGGTTCCATTACTTTACTTCACTCAGGGCAACCATGAATGACTTTTTTTTTTTTTTAAGATTTATTTATTTATGCATATAGACTGGGGTACAGGCCAGAGGTGCAGGGACAATGAGAGGATTCACCACACACAGAGCGGGAGCAGAACAGGTAGATCAATGAAGTACACTGTGAGGGGTGCGGCGGGTGGGCCAGGAGAGGTCTGCAGCACCATGTGGATCACCTCTGGGGCTGGCAGGAATCAAACTCATGCTAAAGTGACTTTAGCTTCTTAGCGCTGTGCTTTAACCCGCTGAGCCACCAGGGAGGGCCCTAAATGACACTTTTAACTCCAGAGCTTCAACTGAAGTCAGCTGAGGCCTCCTTTGCTATCATCTCATGGTTCAACATTCTCTCTCATCGTCTCTGCTTTCAAACCCATTCCCGTGGTTTTTGCTCTGAGAGCGTGCCTCAGTATACCTCCTGTATGCAAATCTCAGAGTTTGAGTCTGTTCCTGGGAAACTAGATCCAATCTGTAAAATACATCCAATCCCCAATGCAGATGGTGATCATCAGTCTCTGTCATCGGTCGACATGCCCTCTTGTCATACATAGAGATCTTAATTTAGTGGTGATTGCATCTTCCAAAAGTATTTCTTTCCCCCTGGAACTAGTTCAGAGATTGAGTAAATTTAGTTGTTTAACAGTAATTAGGTAACCTTGGTAAAAGTTTAAACACGTTTATTACCTATTGATGTTCAAAATTAATTTCTTCCCATGAATCACTGGACATATATACCATGAATCACTCCGTATGTAATGTGACTATGAATCACTCTCGGTGTGGTAAAGGTTATCACTATGGGTTTCTTATAAAGATATTTACTTCTAAATAATATAGGTTACTTGATTTTTTTGCACATAATGAATACATTGACTCCCTTTTGTTTTCCTCTGTTCATTATTGTGATGTATTTGTTCCTTCTACTTATTGTTCATAAGGGTAGGATGAGTAAGAAATAAATTAGAAATTGGATAATTCCCTCTTGTGAGCAGGGAGTATGAGATTTGTGCTTAGAAATTTGCTAGCTATGTAATAGGTCTCAACAAATATTTGTTAAATAAAAATCAACAAATAAATACTTAAATAAAATTGAACATGGTATCCATAGGAACTGTGTGGGTAGGAGAAATGAGTAACTCGAGAGGGTCTAATGAACATTCTTAATCAATTGGTATGCCAGTCTCAGGCTATTCTAACTGCATTTAACTGAGTTTAAAATATTTTTAAATTAATTATTTTATACAACAAAGTGACACATTTTAACATTGAATGAGAAGTGTGGCTTGAAACAAAGAATGATTTTAAAAGATAAGGGTTTACATTAGTGTGAAACAAAATACTTCAGCAGAAATCCAGATAAATTGAGAAAATATTATAGAAATATTATAAATTGATTTAACGGAATGATTCAATTTTTTTTTTTTAAAGATTTATTTATTTATACAGAACGAGGTACAGGCCAGAGATGCGGAGGGTGAGAGGATTCACCAGAGACAGAGTGGGAAGCAGAATCCTGCCACCCCAGGTGGATCTCCTCCGGGGCAGGTGGGGCAGGTGGGGATCGAACTCATGGGAAGTGGCCTTAAGCTTCTTGGTGCAGTGCTTTAACCCGGTGCGCCACCAGGGAGGGCCCAGAATGATTCAGTTTTAACGCTCTCCTTTTTCTCTGCTTAAAAACCTGTATTCTTTTTTTTTTTTAAAACCTGTATTCTTTATCGCATTCTTGAAACAAATATTAGGGTTAAGCTGGTTCCTAGCAAGTCTTGCTAATTTCTAATGGATGCAATGTCAGATTTCTCTCACCTGTGACTGAGGGCTAGTGTTAACGACTGCTCCTGTGCTTCATTCATTACTCAATGAGATTCCCATGTCTTTGCTCTCAACTTCCTTTATTACTTCTTGGAAAGAGGATGACTAACAGCATCCATTGCAAGGGACTGTCTAGGGACTGCCCACTTCTAGCACCAAAAGTCCTGTGTCTCTGGGCCCTTCTCAGACCAGGGAAAATGGGGATAGTTGGTTGCTCTGGTAATTAATGACCTTCCCATTGTTTTTTATTAGATAAAAGTGACTTGATTGGCCCTCCCTGGTGGCGCAGCGGGTTAAAGCACTGCACAAAGAAGCTTAAGCCTCTTTCTCATGAGTTCGATTCCCGCCTGCCCCCGGAGGAGACCACATGGCGTGGCAGACCTCTCCTGACCCGCCCGCTGCTCCCCTCAGCAGTGTACTTCGTCGATCTGCCTGTTCTGCACCCCACTCTGTCTCTGGTGAATCCTCTCACCCTCCGCATCTCTAGCCTGTACCCCAGTTCTGTATGAATAAATAAATAAATCTTTAAAAAAAAAGTGACTTGATTAATTATTGGTCTCTGTGAGGTGAGGGCAGTTCCCTATATTGGCATAGATCTTAGTTGTACAAGTACATAATGTGAAATGAAAAACACTTTCAGAACTGAGCTGAATGAATTACCCAAACAATGAAGAGACTAGTAACATGATTTAGCATGTCAGTCACCTTGCTGCTCTTATAGTTAAGAAAGAACTGAATAGGAGGATACAGCAAGAACTTGGGAATTTTGAAATTTTAAGTTTAAGGTAATTTTGCTAAATATAGTTTAGGTCTAGGACAAGGTAGATTCTTAGACCAATTTGTGGGGTCTTAGAAAATGAGCAGCCAATAAATCAGAAGAAAAGAAAGCCAATACATATGAGTTTAAAATTCTTAATCATAGAGTACATGATCACTATTGTATCTCATATTTCTATGTATTATATTCTCTGCTAACTTGAAACCAGTTGTCAATACTTTTTGATGGATTCTCCCCCACAGATTTTATTCAGTCATCCACTTACTAAAATAAGCTATTAATGTGAAACAAAATAGTTCAGCAGAAATCCAGATAAATTGGCCCTCCCTGGTGGCCAACAGGTTAAGATGCAGCACTGCAAGCTAGCCACAGCCCCTTGAGTGCCTGTTCCATCCCAGGCCACCCCCTACTTATTGTTCATAAGGATGATTCACAAGGCACAGCAGAACTCTCCTGTCTCCTCTGATGCTCCCTTCAGCAGTATACTTGGTAGATCTGCCTGTTCTGCTCCCCACTGTCATGGTGAATCCTCTCACAGCCCCTGCACCTGTGGCCTGTACCCCAGTTATGTATGCATAAATAAATAAATCTTAAAAAAAAAGAAATCCAGATAAATTGATAAAATCTGAATGATTCAACTTAAACGTGGATTAGGGTTAAAGTAAAAAATGGAGTCCAATTTTAATGAATGGTAAATAATAAAAGCCTTCAAAAAATCTTTTAACAAGTTGTCAAAGAAAGTTTTTGGAAAATTTCAGAATGTTTCAGTTCTGTGATGGAAATCAAGGATATTAACATCCATGATTGGGGCTGAAGTGAAATGAGATGTGGGAACATAAAGGGAGGCCTGATAACATCAGAAGAATCAGAATTTAAGAAGGGATAAGACAAAAGAATTACAGTATTATAATGTAGCCTTTTCTCTCCTTGGGTTTCCTACAACCACCTTCTTGAAGGATTGTGTGTCTGACAAGACTGAATATTATCGTTTATTCAATCAACCATTACCTGAATTCTTTATTACAGTGCACAAAACAGTCACATAATCTGGCCTCAGCTGAACTCTCTTACTTTACTTTATTCATAATACTTTTCTTTATTTCTTGAATATGCTAAGCTAATGTCCGTGGAGAGTTGTTGCAAGGGGTACAACTTAACAATGCCAAAGAGTTTGCTCGTTTCTTGGTTTTTGCGATGAAACATGCCTGTGTATAAAAATGGAAAAAAAAAAAAGAAGTTGCCTCTTTAAGCAACTTCCTTTATAGAGCAGAAAGATAGTAAAAAATTGTCGGGGGTGGGGAGTACAGCAGGCACTCAGAACATTTTGAAATTGCCACTTTGGCCTTCCTACCACACAGCGGGCTTGTCCTGTACAACTGCTGAAACAGGCCAGGCCTCAGGACGGATGGGTATGTTTAGTTTCTAGAGGACGTTTGTTTCTTTAAACTCCCTCTCTTAAAAATTGGCAAGCTCAGTCATTTTCTGCCCGGCTGAAGCTCGACAACCGACAACCGTGCCCAGGGCTCACACACTTCAGATCAGGCCCCGCCCTCCAGAGCTCAGGGAAATCTCTGAACCCCTCGCCAGATCTCACTATTGGCTTGGGTGGAGTGTTTTTATTTGTTAAGCCTCTAGCCCCAGAGTCTGCTCAGTTGCGTCGCCAAAGGGTGCAGCCCCAAATGCTCTGGCCTAAACTGAGCACCAGGAAGAAAGTTTGGAGCGCCTGGGGCAGTTGGGCCGCGGCAGAAAGAAACCAGAACTGAGAGTTCCACTCTCCGCTGCTTCGCGGCTCTCGGGAGCCCCAGCCCCGCAGCGCTCCGGGAAGCCCGACCTCGGTCCTCCCGGCCGCAGGAGACTCTCGGCCTGGGTCTGGAGCTCCCGCTAGACGCTCATTTACAGGCCCCAGAGGACCTTGTCTGGCGAACTGTCGCCCCGGGCGCTCGTGGTCGCAGGAACTCTCCGGAATCGGGAGGGGGAGGACTGAATTACGCTTCCACTGGGATTCGTCTGGAGTTCCGGCGGCAGCTACGGAGTAAGCCGAGAGTCCCTTTGTCCTTCTAGGACCTCCTCAGTCGTCCTCTCTCCCAGTCTGTTCTCTGGGTCCGCTGCCCCAGCGCCGCCGGGCATTGCTTGCAGTTTACACCACAGGAGCGCCCTGGTGACTTTTACCACTTAGGTGCACCCTTTATCTGGAGCCGAGGGTCTGCAGGCAGGAGGGCGTCTCAGGCCCCTGACCACAGGATGGTGGCGGGGCTGTCGCTGGCCTGCAGTCCCGGGAGCTGGCTGGTCCCCGGGCTCTGGCTCCTGGCGCTGAGCGGTTTTGGAGGTCTCGTGGGCACCGAGGAGCAACCTTCCTGCAGAGGAGCCTTTGATCTCTACTTCGTCTTGGACAAGTGAGTGCAGAGGGAGGTCCAGGGTTTTCTACTGTGGGCGGCAACGGGTGCTCACCCTGGGGAAGGCTGTTAGAAATCCGAGGTAGGGTGTGATGGATGCCTCATGCAGGGCAAGTGCTTTTGGTTCAGTGGAGGTTGTTTGTTGGTGGTGGGGAGTGTCGGGGGTGAAGGTGGGGGTGGGGGTCGGAGGGGTACCCAGCTTCATATTTCCCTAGGGGAGTGGGGTCTGAGCCTGCTTGTCTTGGGACCCCTTGGGAAATAGCAGTGTGCTAGTTTCTCTCCGTTCTTGAAACCCAGAATCAACTCATTCTGGACATCTCTGTCCTCATCCTCTTCAGATTGGCTGAAGTTTGCCTGTTTTTTTTTTTTTTTTTTAGCCTGACCCCATACTTTTATTGCAGCCAGGAAAAATCTGGTGTTAACATACCCAGTGTGGCTTGCAATTCCTGTGACACAAGACTGTTTATTTTGAACAATTAGCATACAGGTGGTCACCCAAGATGGGTTGACTTCTTGGGACAACTTCTGAGTTTCAGCTCCGGATAGCTGTTACTTTGCTTGAAGTTTACTCGTGGAAACGTTTTGTTTTACTAATCAGTTGAATTTGATTTCTCAGGTCTGGAAGTGTGGCAAATAACTGGATTGAAATTTATGATTTTGTCCAGCAACTTACAGAGAGATTTGTAAGGTAATCTTCCACTTTTTTTTTTTTCCTAGACAGGGAAGTAGAACTAACTCTAAAGAATTCCTCTTTTTGAAACCTTTCTAATGGAAAAACCTTTACTGAAACTTTGAGTTTTAAGTGCCTCAGGCTCTTTAGCACACACATGCTGTCAGTAGGGTAGCCTGTGAGTCCTTGAGGGCTTATTTCATCTGGATCCCAGAAACTTGGCTCAGGCTCTGGGGAAGCATCTTCAAATACTACTCCAAATGTCTTTTCCTTTCTGATTTTTCTTCTGTTTTGAATTTCAGTTATGCTTTCTCATAATTTATCACATTAAAAATTTATGCTAATGGTATCCATAACATAGTTTCCTTTCCACACAATTCTTAGCATCATAGAGGTCCTTCTTAAAAAAAAAAAAAAAAGTGTTGGTAAACTTCAAATGAACATGTGTTAATAACCCACTACCAGAAAAGCCACTTGTTTGTATGTTTAAAGAAACGACTTGTGTTTATACAATGTGTGGGTGTGTGGCTGGTTTAAAATTTAACTGTTCTATATATGCAATAAGGCTTACTAGCAAAGACTGGTTTCCTCTCCTATAAAAAGCATAACTGCTATGAAATCCAGCTTACTATGTTATTTAGAAGTAACTAGGAATTAGTAGCCTTTCCTCTGTAAAAATAACCATAGGATACCGAAATTTTGAGGCATTTTTTTCCTCCTTTTTTTTTTTAAAGAAAAAATGCAATGAGCGAATGCAAGTTTATCAAGATAATGGAAAGGACACAAAAAGGAGCTGTATCATTAAATATTGCTTCTTTCAGTCTTGTTAGCCCAAATGTTTTCTGCAAAACAGGCTTGGATGATCAAAACATTTTGAAAGTCATGTTGCAAGTAACTTCAAACAATCTGTAGAGGCCTAGGCAATCCTTGCTTGCAGTTATTGGCAGCAGTAAAACTTATCCCTATAAAAATGTATGCTTGTCCATGTTCAATCATCAGGCTCCTGCTTAAGAAGCCAAGTACGACACTCTCATTTCTGGACAGGGTCTGAGTTAAAACTGTCTAGGAAAGAAAAATAAACAAGGTCCTGTATCCTTAAATGTCAAAGGCAAAAGAGAAAGTTGTTTATAAATTTTCTCATATAACCTCATATGTTCAGAGAGTGCCACACTGATTTTGATCAAAATCAATGAATCCTTTCAATCCAGCATTTTGAGGAAGTAGGGGTGCTTACTTAATTTACTTTGAGGTTGACTTCTGTAAGACTAAGGCTCTAGGTTAGCTGTTCAGTGACTAATGGTGCATTTTGGGAAGTGAGTAATGGGTGACTACCAAAGAGAAGAGCTTTTAAAATATGTACACGTCTTTGAAGTCATTATGATGTTCAGTTTTAGTTCCACATTTCAGTTTTAGATCTAGTAGTAGTTTCACTGTGGTTTAAAGCCTGGGAGATAAACACCTAAATCTTCAAGCATGTCACCAACTGGGGACTATTGTCAGTATTGAAGTGTACTTGAGTATGATGTTTGAAACTTGGAAAGTCAAACATGTGTAACTAAAACGTGATTTGTTAGGTTCTGTCACACAATCTGTGACACTCTTAAGGTATTCTTACCTCAGGGTGGCTTTGTATAGACACATATCATGGTTGTCATAATTAAACCAAATTGACTAGCCCTAAATACTGCTTAGGATGTTGGAACATCAAGGGAAGAAGTGTTCGCTATAAAAGCATTTTACATTCACCTAGCATTTATCTTTCTAGTTAGTCTCCTCCTAAGTGAAAGACCCTCTGGGTTGTGGGGGAGTGCATGAGTGCAGAGAAACACTGGCTAGATCCAAAATGACTCAGGCAATAATGTGGATAGTGTTAGTGTACCTGCTTAGGAGTGCTTTTTAAAAGAAGCCTGGACCATTCAGTGAGACCAATTTTAAATGAAACTCCTTTGCTATACATCTATATTATATCAGTATTTCTTCTAAATATATTTTAACTGCCTCTTTTCTTGTTTTGCAGCCCTCAAATGAGATTATCTTTCATTGTGTTTTCTTCTCAAGCAAACATTATTTTGCCATTAACTGGAGACAGGTTAGTGCATTATCATTTCCCGGCAGGCTTTTAGTAGAGACTAATCTTAAAGGAATGATTGATATCTCAAGTGGTGAATAGACCTCTAAGTGGAATCAAGCAAATGCACAGACAATTCAGTTCTCTTCCTAATAGAAGGGAAAGGAGGTTTGAGTAATACAAAAGAGCAGATAATCTGAAAATCAATGTCATTTATGTTGACTGTGGAATGTGCAGTGAAGCCCAGATCTCTGTTGTATATTCATTACTTTCTACCTATTCCCCTCTGTTACCATAGATAGTTCTACATCTTTCTTGTTTAGATGTAATTCATTAATCAACTAGTAGTTTGAAGAACATTAGAGAAGAGAGATATGGTTCTATTTGGATAATTTACTAGATTTAATAGACATCCTAGAGCAACAATCGGGTTTTCTCTAATTTCCACTGATATTGAATATATTTATCTTCATAAATGAACTTGCTTTCTATCTACCTGTCTATCTACCTACCTACCTACCTACCTATCTATTTATCTTTTTCATTTTTATATCAATCACATTTTAACACAAAGTATTCAAGGTAGACCTAGTGCAGTTCTTGTAGAATGAATGAATGGGTTAACATTATTTTGAAATCTGATTTCTCCAAGCTGCACTTTTAACAAGGGAATCTGGACTACTTCGTTAGCTGTTTAGACAGGGGGGCTGAAATACTTCATTGTGTTTAATATGTGGATTTCTGAAAGGTTATGTGTGAATTTAGTTTTTTTCTATAAATTATTTTTCCTTTGAAAATATAAAAAACAAATAATATTTAAAGGGGCTCAGGAAAGAACATATAATATATAGGATCTCTTTGGAATATATATGTTCATGTATATATGTATGTTTAGGGTATATATATGTGAATTTTAAATTTACTTATGTTAATGTTTCACTTTTCCTGCAAAGGAAGTCTCGAAGGTGAGGTCAGGCTCATCTTCAGTTTCGTTGTTATAGCTTCCTTCCATACTATCTTGTATGCATCCAGGTTACATGAAGGCACAGAGTAGTAGCAATCCCTTACTATACAGATGCAACAGACTTATGTCCAGAGATATAGTAGTTCTTGATTTTATGAGAAGAAAACTTTTCCCTATCCAGATAAATTTATTTTTGTTTCTTTTTTTTTTTTTAAAGATTTATTTATTTGTACATACAGAACTGGGGTACAGGCCAGAGGCTCAGGGGCGGTGAGAGGCTTCACCAGAGACAGAGTGGGGAACAGAACAGGCAGATCGACGAAGTACACTGCTGAGGGGAGCAGCGGGCCGGTCAGGAGAGGTCTGCCACGCCATGTGGTCTCCTCCGGGGCAGGCGGGAATCGAACTCATGCGGAAGTGGCTTTAGATTCTCAGTGCAGTGTTTTAACCCGCTGCACCACCAGGGAGGGCCCCCAGATAAATTTCTAAAGTAACAGCTTTAGAACAAGCTCTCCATTAGGAGAAAAAGAGAACAACACTGATATCTATGAGGTACATATACATAGAAAGGCATCATTTTAGAAATAGCAATTTTCACCTGCATACATTGTGCCAGGTTCTCTGCTTGCATTTGGGTCATCCAGCACTTTAGAGATGAAGTACAGTCACTGCTTGACCAGACTGGTGTTACTTTGACATCCATGGAAAGGGTTGAAATTGTTGGCCTCAACTAGAGATTTTCCCATGACCATCAGTTGAATCTAATGGAGACAAACTAGAATGGTATAAAGAGGCTTGTATTTCAAAGAACAACCTATTTTGTAGTTATGAGTCTCTGGATCAAGTTGCTAGCCAGGATCATGGATAAGTTACTCTCCCTCTTTGTGCCTTAGTTTTTTCCACCCATTTGATGACAATGATAATATTAATACCCACCGCCTAGGATGGTAAGAATTGAAGTTGATTGTGGAGACTGTAGGACAGAGTCCATTACATGAATTCAAGAAATGAAACCTGCTTTATCATCATCACCGTCACTATCATTGTCATCATGTGCAGCTAGATATCATTGTATTGACCATGAAAAAATAAGCATATATGAAGGGAGTTATTGTTCTGGTTGAAAGAATTTATATTCCAGGAGGAATTTTAATAACAGGGACCTTAATTTATCTCCTTTTAAATACAAATTTACTTTGAACAAATTGCACTATTTGTGGCAAGTTCAATCTGTTTGAGGTGGCAGAAAATACTCAATGAAGGCCTGCATTAGAGTTCTAGTTTGGCCACTCACTAATTTAGAGACTACTCAGTGTGTCAGTACTTACATCCATTAGCTGTAGGTAAAATATGCCATGTTTTCTTAAGAGAGTTGTGAAGATTGAAATAAAACAGTGCCTAGTACTTATTAGATCACAAAACAGTCTCCAACAAAGGATGTTATTCCCTTTTCTTATATTGTTCTTTTACTAATTTTTATTTAAATTGACAGCTTCTATAATTTCTATGATCTTCTATATTTGGACATAAGATAACTTTTTAAAAAAATATTTATATTTATTTATGCTAACAGAATTGGGATACAGTCCAGAGATGTGGTGGGTGAGAGAATTCACCAGAGACAGAGTGGGGAACAGAACAGGCAGATTGACAAAAGTACACTGCTGAGGTAGCAGCTGGCGGGTCAGGAGAGGTCTGCCATGCCATGTCGGTCAGCTCCCTGGCTGGGGATTGGAACTCATGCTGCAGTGGCTTCAGAGAGCTTCATAATGCAGTGCTTTAACCCATTGCACCAGCAGGGAAAGTGCAGGATAACTTTTTAATGCAGTTCACAATTTGCATATTTAGATGCACGATCATAGAACAAACTAGAACTACTATGGAGCTCTATTTTAAAGCCAGCCTAGAAGTCAAATTCTACTTATAAATCATGTCCATGTAATATGCCGTATTCATGGATAGATTCAAGTGCTTGAAAATGCATAGTACAGCAGGTTGCACAAGTTTGCTTAATACATAAATTCTCTGGTACCTTGGTAAATATGAGAAGTACTCTTTTCGAGTTTCTCAATATGTTGCTAAATATTTTCAGTGAAGATGAAGCAAGATTAGAAGGCAGTAAGTTCTTCCAGTAGGGCTCTGTCTCCTGTTTGTTTTTCAGCATGGTGCCTGACACTATGGAAATGCATGAATAGAATGATAAATATGCTGAGAAATGATCAGTTATACATTATATATACTCATCAGTTAAAAACTGTACTTTTAAATATTCTAGTTTGAAATGCCCATGTTTTCTTCTGCCCCATGTTATTTTTCCTTCATATAGCTGTAAGTCTATCCATTCACCAGATAATCAGCCCCGTAGTGAGTGCACATGGACACAGACAGCTCAGGTCTGTATTGTAGGATCAGGTGAGAGGAAGGTGCAGAGTTTTGATTTAATGTAGAACTACTTAGTCTCTCAATATTAGAAAATTTGAATCAGGACTCTTTTTAGGGGTTATTTTTAGTTAATGTGTATAGTTGGGAGAATGAGTGATGCTTAGTTTTGTTCAGTGTGGTCTTAATGATGTTACAGTGATTTAGTTGAAAACATTTAGTGAGCAATTATTATGTATCAGGTTGTATGCAAAATACTTTCCATTCATTACCTCATTTAACCCTCACAACTCTATGTAACAGATACTACTATCTCAGCTTTATAAATGAAGAAAGTGAAGCTAAGAAAGGTAATGTAGCTTGTCCAAGGGCATATGGTTAATAAGTGGTGAGAATCTATTAGCCAAAGTTGTCTCATAAAGTATGAAGTAGATCATGTCAATCTCATGCTTAAGGCAGTCCTGAAATTTAAAATAGAAGATGTTGTACCTGAGTGCCTCACCCTGAGCTCTCCTCTGAACCCTGGGAGCCACAGTCTAGCCCAGCTCACCTGCTTTCCATCCTGAATTTGTTTCTGCATTAGGAGTTTTTGTTTTTCTCTGCTTCAGATCTTCCCGGTTTAGCTCACTTAGGCCTATTCCCATACATTACCTTCTCTGAGAGACCTGCCTGATGCAGATCTGAAGGACTCCTACCCTGCCCCCACAATAATCTCTCACAATACTCTGTTCTGTTTATGAGTCAATTCTTTTTTTATCTCTATGACTGAAATGTAAATTGCATGAGAACAGATGAATCTTCTTTGTCAAGTTCACCCACTATAGCCCAACACCTAGATCTAAGCTACACAGTAGATGCTCAATAAATATGTTCTGAATAAATGACTGAGTTGGTCTGCCTCTAGATTCCAAGTTATTAACCAGTATGGTACATTGCCTTTCTTTGTAATGATACCATATGATCAATGACATTGTTCTATATTAGTTATAAGCATTTCCAATTCTCTTTTCAATGTACTTGATATCAAGTTGAAAGTCATACAATTGACAGGAACACAATGATCAAAATTACTTAGGAAAAAATACCCCTAAGGCAAACTTGTAGGATATTAAAAGAGATGTTATTTGATTAAATTTACATAATATATACACTTCCTATTTCTTGACAGACTTTCTTCTGGTTCCTTGAAATTTGAATTAAAATTTAATTGTTGTAGAATAGCCCTTTATATAGACTTGGTAACATAAATTGGTGCATTCATTTTGTGGGGAAATTTGTCAGTGATTATACAAATTTAGAAAGTTTCTATCATTATTTCTACTTTTCAGGACTATGCCCTACTAAAACATTAGTACTACTATACAAAGATAAGTATGTGCAAAAAATTAGACACTGTAGCATTGTTCATGATATTTAGAATTGCATTTGGTCTAAATTCTATCAACTGATGATACTATAATTAAATTAGTGTATATATATATATATATATATATAGGCAGGCTACTATGCAATCATTAAAGAAATGTAAAATCCATATATATTCACATGGCATATCTCATGAGATATATGAATAGATATAATCTAAGATTACTTGAGAAAAGTACCTGCAGAACATTATATTAAATCTTATTTTATTTTTGTGAAATGAAAAGAAAAACTATTTGACTGTTTTTAGTGT